AGTAAATGTACTTAGTTATTTTCCAAAACTACTGTGTTGTTGGTGTGGACTGTAATATAAAAAGGTGTTTCTGTGAAAAATGACCTGGGAGAACTGGGAGATCCTTTGTCAGGAGCCTTACATATATAAGCTTTAGCTGTACTTTAGTATTTTGTCAGCATTGTACAGTAGCTGAATAAACCTTTGTGAAGTTAGGCCTACATTGCACTACCTGCAGTAATTTTTACAGTGCCTTGCGAAAGTATTCGGCCCCCTTGAACTTTGCGACCTTTTGCCACATTTCAGGCTTCAAACATAAAGATATAAAACTGTAATTTTTTGTGAAGAATCAACAACAAGTGGGACACAATCATGAAGTGGAATGAAATTTATTGGATATTTCAAACTTTTTTAACAAATAAAAAACTGAATAATTGGGCGTGCAAAATTATTCAGCCCCTTTACTTTCAGTGCAGCAAACTCTCTCCAGAAGTTCAGTGAGGATCTCTGAATGATCCAATGTTGACCTAAATGACTAATGATGATAAATAGAATCCACCTGTGTGTAATCAAGTCTCCGTATAAATGCACCTGCACTGTGATAGTCTCAGAGGTCTGTTTAAAGCGCAGAGAGCATCATGAAGAACAAGGAACACACCAGGCAGGTCCGAGATACTGTTGTGGAGAAGTTTAAAGCCGGATTTGGATACAAAAAGATTTCCCAAGCTTTAAACATCCCAAGGAGCACTGTGCAAGCGATAATATTGAAATGGAAGGAGTATCAGACCACTGCAAATCTACCAAGACCTGGCCGTCCCTCTAAACTTTCAGCTCATACAAGGAGAAGACTGATCAGAGATGCAGCCAAGAGGCCCATGATCACTCTGGATGAACTGCAGAGATCTACAGCTGAGGTGGGAGACTCTGTCCATAGGACAACAATCAGTCGTATACTGCACAAATCTGGCCTTTATGGAAGAGTGGCAAGAAGAAAGCCATTTCTTAAAGATATCCATAAAAAGTGTCGTTTAAAGTTTGCCACAAGCCACCTGGGAGACACACCAAACATGTGGAAGAAGGTGCTCTGGTCAGATGAAACCAAAATCGAACTTTTTGGCAACAATGCAAAACGTTATGTTTGGCGTAAAAGCAACACAGCTCATCACCCTGAACACACCATCCCCACTGTCAAACATGGTGGTGGCAGCATCCTGGTTTGGGCCTGCTTTTCTTCAGCAGGGACAGGGAAGATGGTTAAAATTGATGGGAAGATGGATGGAGCCAAATACAGGACCATTCTGGAAGGAAACCTGATGGAGTCTGCAAAAGACCTGATACTGGGACGGAGATTTGTCTTCCAACAAGACACTGATCCAAAACATAAAGCAAAATCTACAATGGAATGGTTCACAAATACACATATCCAGGTGTTAGAATGGCCAAGTCAAAGTCCAGACCTGAATCCAATCGAGAATCTGTGGAAAGAACTGAAAACTGCTGTTCACAAACGCTCTCTATCCAACCTCACTGAGCTCGAGCTGTTTTGCAAGGAGGAATGGGCAAAAATTTCCGTCTCTCGATGTGCAAAACTGATAGAGACATACCCCAAGCGACTTACAGCTGTAATCGGAGCAAAAGGTGGCGCTACAAAGTATTAACTTAAGGGGGCTGAATAATTTTGCACGGCCAATTTTTCAGTTTTTTATTTGTTAAAAAAGTTTGACATATCCAATAAATTTCGTTCCACTTCATGGTTGTGTCCCACTTGTTGTTGATTCTTCACAAAAAATTACAGTTTTATATCTTTATGTTTGAAGCCTGAAATGTGGCAAAAGGTCGCAAAGTTCAAGGGGGCTGAATACCTTCGCAAGGCACTGTAAGCCTTAGATCAGCTGATCAGCTTCTTCTGGAGGCACCAAGGGCTAGGCATAAAAGTAGGGGGGATGGAGCCTTCGCTGTGGTGGGTCCAAACCTGTGAAATGCTTTGCCTCGTTATATTAGGCAGGCCCCGTCATTGTCTATTTTTAAGTCATATTTGAAGACCTACTTGTACTCATTAGCATTTGGCCAGGCATGAGACTTAGTTTGTTTTATTATTGTTTATAGTTTTTTATGTGATGATTTTAGATGTGTATGGTATGTTAAGCACTTTGGTCAGCTGTGCTGTCGTAAAGCACTAAATAAATAAAGTTGAGTTGAGTTGAGAGAGCTGAGTTTCTTAGATGAGCATAATATTCTTGAGACTTTTCAATCAGGGTTTAAAACCATGCATAGTACTGAGTCAGCCTTGGTGAAAGTCTTAAACGACATTTTTCTTGCAACTGACTCAGGGAATTGTGTAGTCTTAGTGCTCTTAGATTTGACTGCTGCTTTTGACACAGTGGACCACAATATCCTTATTTCTTGTTTAGAGCACTGGGTGGGTATCCGGGGTATAGCTCTGGAATGGTTTCGATCTTATCTTAAGGATAGATCCTTCTGCGTGATACTCGGAGATGCTGTATCTTCCTCTGAGCCCCTTTTGTATGGGGTACCGCAAGTCTCGGTCCTTGGACCCCTTCTTTTTTCCCTTTACCTTCTTCCACTTGGTTCTATACTCAGGAATCATGGTGTTTCCTTTCATTTTTATGCGGATGATTGCCAGCTTTACCTACCGGTTAATAAGGCGAGCTCTTCTGTTAGCACACTTCTTGAATGTCTCGATGACATTAAATCTTGGCTTGCTTTTAACTTTTTAAAGCTGAATGAGGATAAGACTGAGGTGATAGTATTTGATGATTCTGTTGGTTCACCATCTGTTGACTTGGGCTCATTGGCTCAATATAATAAAAAGTAATATTTAAAATTTAGGTATTAAGATGGATCCCGATTTAAGATTCGACAGCCAAATTACAGCTGTCGTTAAATCTAGTTTTATTCAACTAAGACAGTTGGCTAAAGTAAAAGCATTTGTCTCTAGACAGCATTTTGAGACACTTATTCATGCTTTTATCACTTCCCGTTTGGACTATTGTAACTCATTGTATCTTGGGGTCGGTGAGTCTTCTATCACTCGCCTCCAGATGGTCCAAAATGCAGCAGCATGTCTTTTAACAGGTACAAGGAAATATGAGCATATCTCTCCAGTTTTGGCCTCCCTACATTGGTTACCTGTTCATTTTCGGGTCCATAACAAAATTTTACTCTTTGTTTTTAAATCCCTTCATGGCTCTGCACCATCCTACTTATATGATTTGCTTCATTGGCATACACCCACACGCTCTCTGAGGTCAGCAAATCAGTTTCTCTTGGTTGTCGCAAGAACAAAGCGTAAGCTTAGAGGCGATCGAGCCTTCGCAGTTGCTGGTCCCAAACTCTGGAATGATTTACCGCTGTCCATTAGACAAGCCCTCTACCCTGTCTGTTTTTAAGTCTCTTTTAAAAACTCATTTATTTTCCCTGGTATTTTGATGTTTTATTTTTGTGTTGATTTTAGTCATTTTTTATATTGATTATATTGTATATTGTTGTTTGTGGGTTTATAATTTATACTGTTTTATTGCAATGTATAGCACTTTGGTCCACTCTGGTTGTTTTTAGTGCTTTATAAATAAAGTTGGTATGGTATGGTCTTATGCTGAACTGGTGTCCATCCCCAGACCAACACCAGAAGCTGAGGTGAGTTATGACCAAGGGGGAGCTAGACCTAAGCTCCTCCATTTTGTACTGAAGTATCCAATGTCACACCAACGTTAAGGGGGTGCATCAGTCTCTGGCTGAGAAAAGAGGGAAGTAAAAGATGCCAGTGCTTGTGACTCCTGTCGAGCCAGCCGAACCCCCTCCACCTGCAGTGCATGCTGTCATCATCCCCCGCTGATATATGCACAACCCGGGGGTGGGCTAAAACACCGCAGAGGACAAGAAGGTTTCCTGCAGGCAAAAGAGGAGGGAGTTCTGGAAGAGGAGCATGTTATGGGTGTGGTAAATTTGGCCACAGGAGGAGGCAGTATCCAGGATGGTCTAGTAACAGGTTCACCCAGAACTGATAGGGGGGCCTGGGACTGCGACAGGTGCCAGTTACTAGGACAGCAATAAAGACAGTGTGAGTCATTCTGACTTTTTCTAATTCCATTCCCCTGCAGTTCCAGAGGAAAAAAAGAAAACAGTGCTGAACCACAAGTGCTGATGTCTGGAATGCCAAATGACTGTGGGGCAAAGGAACAAAGAAGAGAAAAGCTGAGGCAATGGTGTACTGGCTTGGGGACATGGATGACACCTTTGTAAATTTAGCTAAAATGTGAATGAACTTTATTAATGT